AAGATTCAACCGGCTCACCCCACCCCCCGGCACCTACCACGTCGATTTCATGCAACGCGGTCCTCCACCTTACAAGGTTGCCGATGCCTGGTCTTGTTTGATTCATGCTGCGTTTCAAGGTGATGTTCGCCAACATATGGTGGACAAACTCCGGTTTATTTACCTTTGGTTTTTATTTTCCAAAGCTGTCTTTAGAGAACCGCGTTGGGATATTTTTTACAGTTTTTACATCTCATTGGCATTAAGCCTGATACAGTTACGTGACACAGGCTAGTGCTGCTCCATTCTCTGTTGTTTTCGTTCAGCGGGCAAACTACAACCGCTGTCGTCAGTGTTTGTTTAGTTAGAACCACGTGTTTGAAGCCGTCGCTTGTGCATTTCAAGCGCCACGTACGATGCTCGAAGCGGGAAACACACAGTGACCGTTCTGTTTCGACGCTGCTCACTCTGACATCAGTGTCTGAGATTCTATAAAATATGCTTGCCCCGCCGCGGTGGTCTAGTGGCTAAAGTACTCGGCTGCTGGCCCGCAGATCGTGGTATCGAATCCCGGGTGCGGCGGCTGCATTTATGATGGAGGCGAAAATGTTGTAGGCCCATGTGCTCAGATTTGGGTGCACGTTAAGGAACCCCAGGTGGTCGAAATTTCCGGAGCCCTCCACTGCGGCGTCTCTCATAATCATATGGTGGTTTTGGGACGTTAAACACCACATATCAATCTACTATAAAATATGCACATTTTGCCAAAAAACGAGAAGGACTAAATAGCGGAAAAACCAACCAAGTAGCCACAACCAACTTAAAAACAAAACGTTGCCAAGTTGGCACAATGTAGCCGAACCTGGCAATCTAGTAGTGTGCTAAGCTGCATAGGCCAGCATTGCAAGATAACATCGGTCGTGACGTAGAAAAAAGGACGTGTTGTGGTGCAATCGCGTCTTTGAACGGATCGAGGCCAATAAAACATGTACGCGACTCTCAAAGATTGCCGACAATTTCCTGTTCTTCGCTACGTGTGAGATCGACCTCGTGACTGCTGGTAACGCAACAAGGACAGTTAACTATGCCCAACCTTGCGATTGATAATACCCAATAAATTTTTTTTACCTCCCTCTTATTTTCATATGATCAGGGGTTTCAGATTGAAAAATTCCTTTCACTCGCGTAGTCAGTACCGGCCCCCCAGTTCACTTAGCAAGCTTTCACCAACCTCGCTATTTACCAGGGTTGCCGTTGCATAGATTTGAAAAGGAGCCAGAATTAAAGCGGAAAGTAGCCAAAGTTGACACGCCATTTCACTATTTTGCCAATTTCGAAGCCAAATAAAAAAGGCATTATGGCTACAATATTCATAAAATGAAATTTTGATCACGCAGAAACAAAAATAAATTTATTTATTTATTTGACGCAAGACGTACCATTAGCATTGTAAGCGAGAGCGCATAAGACATGAAATATAAATTAACAAACTAACAAAACACTGCGAGTAAAAATACTAATGAACACAGTAGCAACAAACTAGTAAGCTCAATGTTTTACAAAATAGAATGACCTCAGAGTGATAACCAAAGAGATGACCCATAGTACGGTGATAAAGTAAACGTGTCTTGGAGCAGGCTTCGCGGGTATTTTCTGTGAAATAAGCTCGAGGGGTGAAAACTTTGATGCGCTGAAAGGCAGCATAAGCGCTCTTGTTCTTGTTATTGCTCTTCATGGATTTACGTTATCAGAGTGGTTGTAATCAGAATAAAATTACACTCTCCCTGTTAATATTACATGCTATATAGGAGCACGCATATTTTCATGGGAAGTCACAGGTTATGAAGTGCAGTGCTGTTCAAGAGGTAAGTAGGCACAATGTTAGTGTTTCGGAAGACGAATAACCTTATACATATTCTAGCATGTAGTCTCATAAATAATATGTTACACCAGAAGGCGCAGCCCCCAATGGGGGCGTTGTCGCATACTAGGGCTCCGATAGAAGTGTAGTAAGAGCCTAAGGGACGGCTTTTTGCTCTCCCATAGTAGAGTACCTGGTACTATAAATTGTTAACAACTTTTTCCAAACACACAAACTATATCGTACTTGCATGAGTTCAGTCCGTCAGTATATATTTATGCAGGGTATAGTTCTTGCAATAGACAGAGTAGTTTTGGAGCGTTCCCGCCAAAAGTTAGTGTGAATGTCAAACATTAAAGCGATTTTTCTTGAAATCTCATACCTGAATTGATAACTATACCAAACTATGATCACAGACTGGCTTTGTTTTGGTGCCGATAATAGCTTTTTCGGGGGTCTGGGGGAGGTTTGGTGCGCTTGAGCCTGTTGGCTGGGGCCATGGCATGGCCGCATTAGCTTACTTGGCAGAAGAGGTTCAAAACAGTGGCTGACCTCTTGTTTGTTGTTTTCCCTGTAAATAAGTGTAAAAATCGGCTACTAAATGAGCTTGAACAGAAGGTCAATATAGCCATAAAGTAGTCATTGGTGCCACCTTCACAAGTTTTCGTAGCCAGGTGGGGTCCTATGTAGAGAATATAAAGCCGGTCTGGCGACAAGTAACCACCAACGGCTACCCTGCTCTGTACATCAGAGCCATCATGAAATAGCACAGACAGACGATGAAAAAACGTTCGCTGGCACGAATATGAAAAATAGCTATCCTGTCACATTGACCTTTTTTTGCTTATTAGATGCATAAATACGGGAAGCTGGGTCACGCTACACCCGGAGGTCTAACGTGCTTCTCAGAACGACCTGGCGTTGGTTCCTGTCATAAGAAAACAGCGCACGTTTGTGAAGAGCAGAGAATAAAGAAAGAACCGACGTAACGGGCAATATTTATTATGTATTCATGCGTGTATGTGCTTTTTCCTTATGATGAAGATCCAACAACTCGCCCAAATGGCTACTTTGCTTAGCCTACCGCATTTACAGCGGTACTAGTTCTTTACATGCAACGCCACGTGTACTGGGCCTCCTTTATTTCACACCCTTGCATGGCCGTAACGCAGCAATTCAAAAGACTGACGGAACAGTCTGAATCGACTAAAGTATGAGGTATAACTTACGCCTATTTAGGTATTACCTTCCCCCCACGACAACCCATCACACGGTGTTTACGACCATAAGTACACTCAGAAGTGTTAGGAAGAATGCCGGTCAGAGCATCGCTTTTAACAACGCAGTTATCCATAATTTTTGTGCGCGGTCTGTCGAGACACTGTCATTATCCTAAACGGGTATGCGGCACTGAAAGCGTGTAAAAACTACTACCTAACAGTGGTACACTAACAATAAAGAAGTCAGAAGTCGTCCCTACAGATGGCTGCGAGGCGTCGGCTGTAAGCCGTAGACCCCGACTACGTACGAGAGCATACGGTGGAACGGCAACATCGGCTGCAAGAAGACGTCGGTGCGATGGAAGATCTTCACCAACGATGACGTTCTCGTGGATATTCCCGTGGGAGGTGCGAGTGCTCGATTTTGGTGCGAGTTGCTGTCTGTGGAGCTTGGACAACCGTGTCGTGTCTGTCACTGCCTGTAGTCTAACTCGCATCTCTCTGCGCTGAGAATCAATGTAGAAAGAGCCTAACATCACCTAGCTTAAGCTTAGAAACGGTGTAATAACAAGCTAGAAACAACGCGCATCATCCGCCTTGAAATAACTTAGAAGAAACCAGATTAGTCTTGAGAATCGCCCCGTTTCTCTCTTTCAACAGTTTCGCGGCCTAGTACAAGATGGCTAACTGGGCGATATGGTGATTCATGATTGCTCGAAGTGACCCGTCACGGTCGTCTAGTGGCTAAGCCAGTCGGCTGCTGACCCGCGGGTCGCGGGATCGAATCCTGGACATGGGGGCCGCATTTGCGATTTAGGCGAGAATCCTTGAGGCCCGTGTGCACATTGAAAGACCCCAGGTGGTCGAAATTTCCGGAGCCCTCCACTACGGCGCTTTTCATAATCATATGGTGGTTCTGGGACGTTAAATCTCCACAATCATTAATATGATTTCTCAAAGTACGAGCGCGCAACCTAGACAAGGACCACTAAGACACGGACAAGCACTTAACCGTGCCGTAGTTGTCTTAGTACAAACTTCGCCAAAACTCTCTCATTTTCGCTTTAAAACGTCGCCTCTAAACTCATGAGAACAGCTACGAAAACCTTGATCTGGATGAAGTCATGGAGCGAGCTACACCGTCGCACGCTTGGGCTGTTTTGATTCAGGCAGTCAATTCAATCGCTTGTTCTACCAACGACAAGTAATTCGTTCGTGATTTACATTGGCTCTGGGCACACCAAAAGGCGATGGCCAATTCAAAGATTCGCAGATAATACTAAGTTGCGCTAAAGCTACTTCACTGACTTCAACTGTTATCTGAATATTATTAATGACAAAAAGACACACGAGAAGTGGTAGGAGTGCTCATTTTAGCCCTTGATTGTATCGCTTCACCGCCTTCGTTCTTCGAAAGATCCTTATTGCTTGGGCATGAGTCCCAACTAAAAGGCAATTTAGCTCGGCTGCACCCCAAAACCATCGTTGATAGATTGGAGAAGTTCGGTTCACGACGCTGCAAGACTGAAAGTGACGAAGCGAGTTATTATTTGCACCTTGAATAAAATAAAAGACGCGATGCCCTTCTCCCAACCTTGAACATTTTTTTATATCAGCGGTGTGCGGGTGACTTTTTCTTTCCACACAGCAGGGAACGATGAAGCCTGCTTAGACGCGGTAGAGGTTAGTCGCTGCGCGGAAGCGAGTATCGATGAAAACGCGTGAACGAAGATCCGAAGGCTCTGATAAGCAGATATGGGTCGCGAAGCAGCCAATTCGGGCAGCCGCTCTCCTTGGACGTCAAGCTTCTCGCACTCTGTCCTTGCGCGCGCAAAGATGAGATCTCTCGGTGGAAGGGCGGAAGTGGAGAACGAAAAAAAAAAGCGAGCTGGAGTCGAGGGCCAACCCAGTCCCTGTTACTTCACCCAAGGCGACTATTATCCAATCGTGTGACGGAGTTTTCTGGCAGGTGTCTCCTTGAAAAGATCGGCGGTTTCTTCGGGTGACCTGCCAAGACCCACAGTTGCTCGCGTGATCCTAACACCTGCGGACCGGAGGAGCGCAGGAGGACCAACAGACATGAAGTCCGTACTATTCTGTTTACTTGGGATTGCGCTGGTGGGGACTGGTAAGTGATTGTTGTTCGCCAATCGCGCTTGAAAAAAGAAAACGAGTACAATTAATTCGTCATAATTACAGTTGTTAGTTATGAATTTTTTAACGTGGTTACTGACGTCATCATATATGCTGTAGCTGTTGTAGCCCAGCTGCAATTTGTAATTGTAACGGTTATATCATACCTCGAAGTTAAAGCGAAGAGGAGAGACTGGTGAGAGCGAGAAATTCGAGCACCTTTTCAAACCTCGCACGTTCAGTTCGGAGAGTGGTCTTTTTGAAAAAAAAATGACGGCAGAACGTTTTCCGCTTGCGTAGTTATAACTGTGGCTACGCGAAACATTCAAGGGACTCACAGATGGTGCCAACCAAAGACAGAAAGGGACGACCTCGTAGCCTTAGGCTTTGCATACAAAACTATCCTCGGGCACGCCTGATTGCATCGATGGTGCAACTTTGCAGTGCCCTGCTTAGTTTTTCAGGTGCCGAACATACGAGGTTTACAACGAGCATCAACAGTCATGTGAATATGATAAAAAAATTGGAGCACAGAATGTGATCGCGTAGACTACAGTCTTCAAATAGGCTTGTCAGTCAAACGATAGTCCACTTAAAGGGTATGTATAGCGTCCATAACTGATAATCGTACTGGCACGTACTCTTGGTGACTGAAGTATACTTGTTGCTCTCGTCCTGTAATGTATGCATTCAAGAAAGAGAGAGAACACGTGATGTATGAACTGAACATAGCGTAGCAAGATTAACCATTCTGTTGTTTTCTTGACACTGGGCGTTTGATGGTGACGAGACAATAATATAATAAGATATGAATATTATAAAACCATTATCAAAATATAATAATAACACATGCCCTCACTAACACGGGGAAAACACTTGCAGAACGACTGTAATGTTTCCGTTCACTGTAGACACTGGAGCAGTTGGAACTGGTCAAGGTCAAGATTAGGGTGCAGACAGTAATCTTCTGTGAGAGCACGGTTTTTGGCTGCTAATTCATAGCTGTCCAGAGCTCGTTGTGCACTGAAAGCAAGACGCAAATTTGCATCATGAGCAATTCAATGGTAATGGTGAAAAACGTTTAGAGAGACGACGTGACAGATATTGAGAAAGATTTCGTAGTGTGCTGTGACGTGAGAGTGAAAATGAATTCGAGAGAAAGGAATCCGTACTGATCCCGTAACATCATTCTTCTTAAGTTTTGACATTTTTTAGTCACCTATTTGTTCAACAATGCCTTTAACTACGTCTTCACTTGACCAGAAGGTACTTCGTCGAGCTCTCGACTACTGAGGAAAGAAGGAAGTGCATAGTGGGTGCAGTAATAATTGCTCAGTACCTCAAAGGCAGTTTGTGCTGAAAGAACCATCAAAGGTGAAATTACCATTTATTCAGCTTTAGCACAAGTCTTCCGGAAAACCCGTACGGTTTCTTAGAAAGAAAGCTTCTTGCATGTCGTGAAATTTCCCTTGTTCCGCGGTTCAAACTCGGTACCAGTGTCATGCTGGAGCAGTGACTGAAGCATTTGCTTCTTTGCTCTCCAATCACTCCTAAAAAGCACAAGCGTGCTTCAAGTTTATATACTTTAAAAACATGCAAAGAGTGAAATACATTCCAACATGAAAGCAGCAGAATCGCCAGTTTTTACCATGGTTTAGAAAATCGGGCTCTGTTTTTTCTTTACACGTTCTGAATGGCGCATGGTCACCACAAGGTGTATTACTAGATTTTACTAAGAATACGAAGAACGGTTAAAATATGAGAAATGTGAAATCGGCAGCTGGTCATCTCCTTTGTCAAATCTTCGTTATTGTTATCACTGGACTACTTTTGGTTGAAACCTTGCGACAATGTGAAATTAGCCGCATTGGTCACTGTAAGCAACGCCCCAATGTACTTAGCTGTTACAAGTGATTTTTCTGTAGTTCGAAATTACTCCGCTTACTCAAGTTATCTTTACGTCGATGAAAGAACAAACAAGCAAAAAAGAAGACATAGAGACATAGAAACGAGAAAAAAGGAAGGCAGGGAGGTTAACCAGATGTTAGTATCTGGTATGCTACCCTACACTAAGGTTGGGGAATAGGGGGTTGAAAGAGAAAGAGAGAGTTAAAAATAAATAAGAGAAAAAACACCGACACACACGCACGCACAAAATCAGTCCACTCAGAGGTGTTCCGATAGGCCAGTAGTTCGCAAGAAGCCCAGTAGCGTTTGCACGGCTTTCTTCTGTGACGATGAGTCATGACGATGGCGCAGTATACTTTCTTCTGACAGCGGCTGGTCATCTAACCTGTTTAGTGTAGTAGAAAGGTGTTGTCTGCAGTCACATAGGATATGTCGAATTGTTTCTTCATCTCGGCAGTGTGCACAGTCCGCGGTGTCAGCCATCCCTATGAGGAACGCGTACGCACGGGTAAACGCGACTCCCAACCATGGTCTGCACAGAGCAGTAGCGTCACCTCGTCGAATTTTTGTTCGAAGCTGTAAGCTTAACGTTGGATCAAGGGATCGTAACATGCGTAAAAAGAGGCTCATTCCAAAGAGCCATGGAGCGTTGGCGAGCAAGAATGCGGAGCCTCCTAGCAGCGTCCGTCCTTGAGAGAGATATTGACTGGTTGTTGTCTTCTGTATGGGCTGAACGGGCAGCTTGATCAGCTCGTTCGTTACCGATAATTCCATAGTGGCTTGGCAATCACTGAAATATAACGTTGTGCCCTTTCTCTGTTTAATGATGTAGCATTTCTGCTGTTTCGAGGAGCAACTGCTCGTGTGAACCACGGCGTAGATTTGACAGCGCGAAGCGCTGCAAGCGCTGCTGCCGTTGTTGTGGTTGCATGAGCTGTCCTGAATTTGATGGTTGTGGCGTGCGTTGGAATAACGACCGCCGCAGTTGAGCTGTTTGGCAGGACGGGCCGTTGGTGTAGACGTGGGTGCAGTCTTGGTACTTCTCGTACAGCAGAAGTAAGGCGAGCTGCTTGAGGGCTGGTATTGAGAAATCTCGTTTTTTCTGGATGACTGGTATTGTCAGGTTGATGACTGGCTGTTTGAGGCACCATGAAGGAATTGAAGGTCTCGCCGCGGGCGTAAAACCAGTTGGTAGGGAGTCACCATGTGTAGTTATTGTTCGACAAAAGGAAGTATGATCTCTATCCGCTGGTAGAGAGGCTAGGTGGTGATGGGGTGTCCGGCCCACATGCCTTATGTGTGTCCTCAAAGCTTCAATTTCAATATGGGTCTGCACGAGTTGGTCTTAGGCTAAAGCTATAGTCGCCACTGTTGAGGCACCCTGAGGCCGACCTAGACATATTCGAAGCGCCTGTGCCTGAACGCTTTGTATCATGCGTCGACTTGTTTTGCTGGCGTTTGACAATGCAGGCAGACTGTATCGTGAAAAGCCAAGGAAAAGCACTCTGTACAGTCGTAACATAGCATTAGGCTACATTCCCCAAGTTTTTCCAGCGAGAAACTTGAAAAGATGGCATATGCCTGTCAATCGCTTTTTCAAATACGACACGCGAGGGCTCCATGATATGTCTCTGTCGACTATGACTCCCAGAAATATGTGATATCGACTATATGGTATATTTTGACCGTTAATTGACACTCTGTAATTCAACATGGGTTTGCGCGTAAATGCCAGGAGAGCGCACTTTTCGGAGGAAATTTTTAGGCCTCGATTGCGGAGATACAAAGCAGTTGCAGCAGCAGCTCTCTGTATTCTCGCTCGTAACTGCAGGCATGTTACCGCAGATGTCCAGATGCAGATGTCATCAGCGTATGTTGATAGATAAATATTGTTTCGTAGGTGCGTATTGAGAGCGATTAGTGTTATATTGAATAGCACGGGGCTCAGTACACCACCCTGAGGGACGCCACGACAACTGAAATGTGTAGACGTGTTCCCGGCCTCCGTACTCACAAAGGATCGCATTTGGAGATAACTGCGTATCCACTTAAACATTTGGCCACCCACTCCGATCTATTCTAGTGAGGTAAGGACGGCTTCATGTGCAACGTTATCATAGGCTCCTTTGACGTCAAGGAACAGAGAGGCGCAAAGACGCTTATGGCCTTTCTCGTGTTCAACGTACGTGATTAGGTCGATGACGCTATCGATCGATGATCGATCACGTCGAAAGCCCGCCATGGCATCTGGGTAGATCTCATGGTACTCCAAGTACCACTCAAGTCGGCCGAGAATCATTCTCTCCATCACTTTACCCACGCAACTAGCCAATGCGATCGGGCGATAGTAGGAGAGTTCCAATGGTGATTTGCCAAGTTTTAGCAGTGGTACTAGACGACTAGTTTTCCAACTTAAGGGGACAGTGCCCTCAAGCCAAAAATCATTATATAGCTGAAGTAGAGCTATTCTCGCGCGCTCACCCAGATGACACAGGGCTCTGTAGGAGATTCCGTCCGGTCCTGGTGCGGAGGTACGTTTGCATGAAGCGAGTGCTGCCTTGAGCTCCTGAATGGTGAACGGGAAGTCCATACAGTAATCACGTGGCAGCGGACAACTGCTCGAAAGTGGTGAGCTGCTAAGTGCTGTAGTTTGCCCTGATAGTCCGGCGCAGAACTCTTCAGCAACATCCACATCTGGTCGATTTTGGTAAAGGGCTAAGGCCTTGAATGGTGACTTCTGAATGGGGGATGACCGCAAACCTCTTACCGTCCTCCATATCTGCGATAAAGGCTTACGAGGGTCGAGTGACTCGCAGAAAGTAATCCAGCGTTGGAATTCTAGCTTGTCCAACCGACGTTCGATCTTCTTCTGCATACGTCTAGCAGTCCATAAAACTTCTATGTCCTTCATGCGCCGGTACCTTTTTTCAGCTCGTCGTCGCAAGGCTCGAAGCCACTCCAACTCTATGTCGATGTCCATGATTCTTACAGGGCATGGGATCGTACACACAGTCCCTTTTACAGCGTTCTTGATGGCCTCTTGTAAATCGGATATGTGTTTTTGGCATTGGTCTTTCATACGAGACT